TAGCATGCACAGTGCCCTGAGTTCAATCCCTATTGGAAAAAAAAGGAAAAGATTGAAAGTATTAGAGAAACATGAGCTCATCGAGTAACCATAATTGTAGGAACCCAGTGATAGGCACATAAGCGTTACTTGTACCACCCTATTTTTGTATGTTTTTGAAAACTTCCATAATAAAAGTGAAAAAGAAAGAAATGAGGTAGGAGACAGGAGTTAGTTTGCAGGCTGAGAGTCAGAAGAGACGGCTGGAGGTGTGGTGACCTTCAAGAAGGAATTTCAGTCCCACCTTCAGGGATGAGACCTGTCTTTCACCTTAAGTGGGAAGATCAATAATCTCTACACCAAAGTGTCTTAGGACAATTCCCACACTCACATGTCTTTAGATCACTTAACTTGACAACTTGACATAGTGCCGTGGCAACTGGAATATTGAGTGACAGCTTACAAAGGATGTTAGTTTCTCTTCATTCATTTAGCAGATGACTGCTAAAGGCTTACTATGTGCAGCACTGGCTGTGGATACAAGGTGAACAGAACAGAGGAGGTACCTGCCACACGGGGAGATCGGAGAAACTAAATGCAGGTAATCTGCATGTGAACCTACAGGGGGTGGCCCGTGCTAAATAGAAAGCATCATGGCATCTGATAGGCATCTCACATTTAACAAGTTATTTCCCTGTCAGACATCCGCTGTGACTGATGAACAAACCCCGATATCCTGGGTAGCTGGGGGTGTTTGAGGCCCTCCAAGCTCTAGACTTAGGAGACGCTCAACCAGGGAATCAAAGAAAGACCCTTGAGTCCTGGAGATGCGGGGCTCCGCCCCTCCGCTGTAGCCTAGCCCAATTTAACTGTCCTCCAACCACCGCTGTACCCTGCTCCTAGACTTCCTGCCCTCCTCACTGCAGAGCAGTCCCTTCGCCCCGCCCCTCGATGCTCTTGGTCCCGCCTCCCCACCGCAGCCCAGCTCCGTCACTCACTCCCTCTGCCCCATCCCGGAAAACGGCTCCACCCTCCCCGCCGCAGGGCAGGCCCCCTTCCCTAGACCCCGGACAGCGCTCTCCCCACTCTCAGACTTCAAAGCCGCACCCCACTGACACTCCGCCCTGGATGTCATGGTCCCACAACCTAGCCGGTTGAGCGCTCCTGGGCTCGCGCCTTCGCCTCGCCCAGGTCATGGCCTCCCCACTGCAGGACAAGCCCCTCCCGAGGCCCACAGACGGGGTCCCCGCTGGCCCAGGTCACGGCCTGGCCCTGCCCCCTGGGGAGTCCCCAAACCCAGTCGGGTGACAGGGCAGACTCGAGCCTTAGCCCTGTGGCTGCAAGCCCAGCTCCACCCACACTACTAAGGCCCCGCGGCCCCGCCCGCCCCGCCGCAGCGTAGTGCCGAAACCTCAGCCCGCACTCGGCGACAGGGCTGGCGCTTGAGCCCCGACTCAGGACGCCACGGCCGCACGCACACGAGTCCCCGCCCAGGACGGCACGGCCCCGCCCCGTCGCCGCTAGGCCCGTCATTCGCGCCTTGCCCTGACGTCACGACCCCGCCCACTCCCCCGCAGTCCGGGCACAGCTTCGTGCCCACCCGGCCGTCCTCGGTCGTCGCGGCCCGGCACGCCCCTCCCCCTCGGTCACGCCGCTCCCCCTCGGTCACGCCGCTCCTCACCAGCTCGAACCGGTTGTTGACTTGGACGCCCTCCTTCCCTGTGCCTCCGGGGAGCCGGACCCCTGGGCCCCGCTTTGGTCCTTCTTCTTCCGCGTCATCGTCATCACAGAGGACAAACTGCAGGGCGCCGGGCCCGAGGGGCTCCTGGCCACGCTGTTCCCCTCTCAACCTCCGGAGGGCCCGGCGCGACATAGGACCCGACGCCTGATGCCCCGAGCGAGAAGGAAGAGCAGCAACCCAGCTGCTGGCGCGCCTGCGCACTCACGGCACACTGGCCTAGGCCGGCGTGTCGCGTCTGCGTGCAGCGGCTCGCCGGAACTTCCTGTCCGTCTCCTGTGGCGTCAAAGAAGGTCCAGGCGCCTTCGGGCGCCTCCCGCGAGAGTTGAGCGTCTCTGGCTGGCTGCAGTGACGTGTTTTTCTTGGTTTTTCGGCGCGTTCGGGGCACAGATGATGAGCTGTGATATGGGTGGAGGGCGGAGAGGCTCAGAGCTACCAGCACCCATGCCCTAGACCCTGGTTCGCAGAGTTCTTGCAGGTTAGGGCCTGGGAAGGAAGCGGAGTGCTCAAGTGCATCTGGCGGGCCGCGGTGGCACACGTGTGTAATCTCCGCATTTGAGAGGCTGAGGCGGGAGGATCAAGGCACCCTGGGCATCATAGCGAGACCCTACCTCAAAACAAAACGAAACAAAACAGGAATACACACCCCTAAATCGAGGACCCCTCCTCCAAGGTAGATGGGACCTAATCTCAAGAGTAGATCCTAGGAGTTGCTATTCTTCCATAAAGGTATGGGAATCGGTGCCCTGAGATAGAGGTTTGTCACTGTTACCGTGCAACATAACCTTCTAGAGGGTATTTTACAATAAAGACGTAAGATCGCCTCCCCCCCTGCATTGGACTTCAACTGTTTTGGAAACGCATTCCAGGGGCAGCCAGGATTGACAACCTCAAGGGCTGAGAGCAGAAGCAAGATGAACTGGTGGAGGGGTGAGGAGAGGCAGGCCACCTGTGGGGCAAAGGCAGACCTTGGGGCTCAGAGGACCTGGGTTTGAGTTGGGTCTGTGAACCCAAACTAGGTGAGGCCCAGCACGGGCCAAACCTGAGATGAGGGGCAGGGCAGGGCTAGGTCATAGGCTGTCTCCTGGCTGCTCTAGTCCCTGAACCCTACTCCTCCTCCTTCCCCAGCAGCCTGAGCTCTACTGAGATGGGTGGAGTCGGTGTTGCTCCTTAGGGAACGATGTGCTTGGCTGGCCAGATGAGGTGCCCCGCCCCATTCACACTCAGCACCACTCACGTGTCTGGCCTGTTCAGAAGCGGGCTAGTTGTTGGTTTCTGTGTCTGTGTCCCCCTTGGTAGGTGTCTGACCAGTCTACACAGGCCTGTTCCCTGGTTTGAGGACAATCCAGAGTCCTTAAGGCCTCTGCCTGGAAATATTCCCTTCCCCTCACCCTCTACTCCTGGGACTTGGGTAAGGAACTCACTTCGAGGGACACACAAACAGGCAATTCCATGCAAGTTTCTCCCAGGTGGCTGCAGCCAGAGTCCCTAACAAGGAAAGCTGTTTGTCCAGATGAGGCTGAGGCTGTTTCAGTGACCAATTCTGCAGTTTCTGTGTGGAGCTTGGGGAAAGAGGTGAGGCCAAAATAGTTGAAGTCCAACGCAATTTTGGGGGGAGGTGATCTTACGTCTTTATTGTAAAATACCCTCTAGAAGGTTATGTTGCACGGTAACAGTGGCAAACCTCTATCTCAGGGCACCAATTCCCATACCTTTATGGAATAGCAACTCCTAGGATCTACTCTTGAGATTAGGTCCCATCTACCTTGGAGGAGGGGTCCTCGATTTAGGGGTATTCCTGTTTTGTTTCGTTTTGAGGTGGGGTCTCGCTATGATGCCCAGGGTGCCTTGATCCTCCCACCTCAGCCTCTCAAATGCTCTGAGGGCATCCCTCAGAGCCCAGGAGATGGAAGAGACAGTTCTTGAGTTGGCTGTGGACTGTGCCTGTCAAAGCAGCCTCAGGAAGCAGCTGCCCCAGGATCTGTTTTTACTGTTTGCTGTAAACACTGATTTCCAAGTGTGGAGACCTGGTTCTCCATACTTTGGCAGTGTAAGCTGGACGTGTTGCCCGGTGCCAGCTTCTGTTCTGTAAACGCGGGTAGATAATGGTAATGGCACTTGGCATCCAGGTGTGTACGCCGAAGAGACTGCCGCACAAAAACTTTTTTATTGCTGAGTTCGTGACAGGCAATTCCTGATCACCCTCCTTTATTTTTGGTGCAGTACCTGGGATTGAACCTAGGGCCCTAGCCCTGTGCTATATCCCTAGCCCTTTTAAAAATAGTTTTTGAGATAGGGTCTCATTAAGTCACTAAATTGCACAGGCAGGTATTCAACATGTAGTTCTCCTGCCTTAGCCTCCCAGAGTGCTAGGAGGACAGGTGTGCACCTCCACACCTGGTTCTTATTTTTAAATAGGAATAAAAACACAAGAATAAGCAGTCTATGTTCAAACAAGCAGTGGGAGTTGGATACTTTTATTAGCTGTTCTAATTTTGTGTGTTTGAATTTCCTAGACTCCAGCTGCTAAGAGTATTCTTTCCCACAGGCCCAACTGTTAGAAGCCTTCTCCCTTCAAGGCCTTCTCCAGCCGAGGTGGGGAGTACAGTCTGGAGTCCACATCCTGTAATGCACTGCCAAATTCCTTCACATATACTGATTCTGTTTCCTCATCTGCTAGGAGTGATGACAGAGCGCTCCTTGTGGTGCATGTGAGCCGTAGCGTGCTTGGTGCTGGGGCTACCCACAGCCTGCAGCCTTCTGGAACACCAGCTTGGTCATCTCCCTGAAGAGCAGGACTCAGGGGCTGAGAAACCAGACCAAAGGGGACCCAGGCCAGCAAGCACAGGCAGAGCAGGTGACAGGCAGTGGCCTGAGCTGTTTTGCATGCAGCCCTGACAATGATAACTGGGGCTACGGAGCTGGCAGAGAGGCTGCCAAGGGCTTCTGTGTGTGTGTGGCACTGGAGATTGAACTCAGGGTCTCCTGTGTGCTAGGCAAACGCTCTGCTGCTGAGCTACATCTCCAACCTTCCTTATAGTTTTATTTTGCAACAGGATCTTGGTGAGTTGCCCAGACAGGCCTCAAACTTGCCTTCTTCCTGCCTTAGCCTGCTGAGTACCCTGACTAGGGCTTTATGGATGGGAGTGGGCGTGGATGCCATGTTCTGGGATGGGCCTTTTCTGGCCCTGGGGGCAGGCAGCCCCTCAGAGCCGAGCTTCAGATTCAGACAACTTGGGATCCTCTTGCTTCAGCTTTCCGCCACATCTTTGTCCCCAGATGGTCACCATGAGATCATCTTTATTAGGCTCACATGGCCATGGGCATGACTTTACAGAGCTGTGCCAGGACCACCTGGCATCCCCAGGCCCTCTGGCCTGCAGTGGGTGAGGAGGATAGCACCAGCGCATGGGAAGGCCTGAAGGGGCAGGGTGGCAGGGGGGTGCTGGGTGGGGGTGCTAGGCAGGGGCAGGGTCCCAGCTCGGCCTCTGCCCTCATATGGAGATGTGGGGTGCCTAGGACACCTCGCAGAGGGTCCCATCCACCCAGCAGCTTCCTGGTGCCTTGGGCCCCTACAGGAAGGCAGAGGTAGGCAGGCTCCCCAACCCAACCCGGACTCGTACCCAGGAAAGGGAAGCAGCTATGTGGTCCGAGCTGTGTAGGAGAGAACTGGGGCCTGGGCGGGATCTGCTGGAGACCTAGAGTCTGGAATCCCCTACCCTCCCTCTTTAGGGAGAAACCCTCCATCCACACCCCAAGGAGTCCTGAGAGGGGACAGCCTCCCAGGGAAGGGGCTTGCAGTGGACCTGCCCCCAAATGAGCAGTGGGGCAAGAAAACATATAAATATATAGGTTGTGTGCATATATTATAGAAAGGCGTCTGTCTATGTATATATGTACATGCGCAGGCCTGGCTGCCTTGGGCCGTGGTCACTGGAAATTCAGAGTCTTGGTGTCAGGGAGGTAAAGGGACTGTGTCTGGCGGGTGCGGTGCGGTGTGGTGTTGAGAGCGTCCACACTTCTTCGGCTGGAGCGCACGACATCAGCCACGAAGCTGGTGCAGTCACTGCAGACATCCTTCAGGACACAGCCATGTGCATAGATGTGTGGGAACTCCTCCTCCACACTTCGCCACCGTGGCCCTTGCAGGGACCTGGGGGCAGGGGCCAGGAGAGGACCATCAGGGCTGAGACCCCCCTGCTCTAGTCCTGCCCCTGCCCCTCCTGAATCACAGAGATCCCCAAGTCCTCGGGTCCACAGCTGCTCCTTACCTCCCCCTCCACTCCTGGGACTTGGGTAAGGAACTCACTAGGAGCTCCTCCCGTGCAGGCTGCTCCATAGGAACTGAGTCCTGGGCCACTCTCCTACCCGCCCCCTCCTAAAGGGGCCCAGCCCAGAGGACTCCTTTCCTACATGCCTGGCCCAGACCCACCCAGACACCCCGCAACAAGGCAGAGCAACACACTGGAAGACCTCTCTCCTCTGCGTAGGCATGGCCTTGGCCGAGGGTGGCCTCTGAGAACTCTCAAAGCCCAGAGTGTAGACGGGGATGTGTGCACACTTCTTAGAAGGCATCTTCATCTGCAATACAGAGGGTGGTGTGGACCATACTCAGGGTGGACCTGGTACAAACCCGTGCCGGCGTGGACCATACCCAGGGTGGACCTGGTACAAACCCATGCCGGCCCCGTGGTCCTCCTCACACCCCAGCTGTGTTTTCTGTTCATCTAGTTAAGGACTTTTAGGGGAAGAAATAGTGCCTTTTTATACTATACAAGGCCTAGCATTGTGCCCTGTACACAACCAGTATCTGACACTGATGACAGAAGTTTCTCCATTGTTGGGATTGGTTATAAAAAAGCCCCAACTAAAAACATTTTTAAAGCTGGGCATAGTGGTGCATGCCTGTAATCCCAGTACTTGGGAAGCTGAGGCAGGAGGATCCCTGTGAGTTCACAGCCAGCTTGGGCTCCATAGTGAATTCAAGGACAACCTGAACTACATAACAAGCGCCTGTCTCAAAAAAAAAAAGGAAGGAAAAAAAAACATTTTTAAAAGACATCAGCTAGGAATGCCTTTAAAAATCACAGTCTTGGCAAGGGTAAGAAAGGGTTCTGGAGAAGGGCACACATGGGGGGCCTGGGGAGGGTGGCACTGTGCAATACATGCAGCAGGAGACAGAGAATGCCCATCTCAACTCACAGACTGAAGCCCTGCGCGAGCTCACCTTTACGCTACAGGAAGTGCAGACGGCTCTAGAAGGGAAGAGAGTTGGTATCAGTGGGGAAGGGGAGGAGAAGGCAGCCTCTGGCCTCTGTCTGCCCCAGGTGCTGGGCACACCCATCTGCCGGCCCTGGCTCTGTTCCTTCAGGACTTGATTCTACCCCAGCATCTTTCTTTTGTGTTGGCTTCAATCCAATCTACCTCTGCCTCTCAGTGTCCCGTGAAAGTCTGGCCTGGCGTTGCCAGACACCTCTCACTACAGAAGAAGAAAGCCCTGTAGGAGTGCTCCATTCTCAGCATCAATGAACATTCATTAACCCTACACTCAATTTCAGAAGTAAATGCCTTCCTGTAAAACTTCAAATGTTACATTAGTTACAATTTAGACAGCCCAACTACAGGGATGACCTCTGTTGGCAATACAACCACTACCCTCTAGACTAGTCTAAGCATTTATTAACAAAAGATACATAATATTTTACAAATGAAATGGGGTATTGTTCAAACTACTACTTATTTTACATTATTGGGGGTTTTGGTTTTTTTGAGACAGAGTCTCCTATTAGCCCAGGCTAGTCTTGAACTCACTGAAATCCTGCCTCAGCCTCCAAGTGCTGGGATTACAGACACCTGCCACCTGGCAGTTTTATCAATTATTGAGATAAACACTTAAGTAACTAGTTGTGGATTTATTTTTCCTTGTAGTAGACACACACACAAATTGGAACAGCGTGGTGTTTCAGGTCTTGCTTTGATCCATAGATCTCCCTTGGATGGATGCTCAGCCTAGGGCTACTTAGGAATGGGGCTGATTCTGCTCTAGGGAGGCAAGGCCTTCCTGTGTGTTATACTGGTGCCCTGTGAATTATGACATTTCCGGCTATGTCTAGTAGAAACAGATACTATTCCTAGGTGTAAGCACTGTTTCTTTAAGTCTTTTGGATGGGGTAAGAAAACTTTCTGTGCAGGCAAGAAGTAAACTTTTTAGGTGAAGCTAAAAGGGTTAACAAGTAAATGAATGGGTGGGAGGGCTGTGTTCCAGTGACATTTTATTTATAAAACAGGCGGTGACATCTGTAATCCCAGCACTCAGGAGGCTGATACAGGAGAATCACTGTGAGTTTGAGGCCAGCCTGGGCTACAGAGTGAATTTAAAGCCAGCCTAAACTGCATAGCGAGACCCTGTCTCAAAAAACAAAAAAGAAAACAAAGAAAAAAAAATGGGCCATGAACCAACGTGTCTATGGGCAGTAGCTTCTCAACCACTAACTTCCTTCCATCATGCTGCAGAGTGATCAGCAGGCTCCTCTGAGCCAGTCTCTTAGGTCCTCTGCCTCAGTCTCCCCTGGAACTTTCACAGAGAGCCCCAGTACCCTGGCCTCTTGTGCACATATCCTGGACACTCTCCAGGCCAGCATGGACTCCTGGTCTGCTTCCTAGAGCTGCTGATGGCCAGTGTCTTAAAAACCATTGTTTCATATCTTTTGGGTTTTGGATTTTTGGCTATTTCAGCTGCAGGTTCCTGTTACTCCATTTAGCTGAAAGTGGGAGTTCCTTAGCTATTTAAATTAATTTAAATAACACTTAAAATTCCAGCTGTAAACATTCATTTTGGCTGGCACCCCCATCTTCTAGGAATTTTCCAGAATGGCTATCACAAAGGGGAAGTGGAGAGGCCCTGACACACATCCTCCAGGCCTCTTAGAAAACATACATCTGAGAAAATATCCCCATACATGCAGATCTCCAGGAAAGGAGACACTGGAGAAATCAAAGGAGTGGGAAGAAGGAATGCCCTACACACATCACCCTGGCAAAGCTGTGAGCATCAACAGTGTCACCACTGCTGTCAGCAAATGGGTCAACAGCGAGATTCCCCAAGAGAATGCATGCATGTACTGAGCATATCAAGCTCGGCAGTCAAGGTGGTGTCCAGAACAACGATCAGAAAAAGGAAACCAAACAAAAAGGTCTTGGATTCAACTGAAGCTGCAGCCTGCTCCACCCAGAGAACTGTGCTTTGTGAGGACATTGTGTGGTGTGTGTGTGTATGTTTCACTGTTGTTATCGTGCTGTGGATCAAACCCAGGGCCCAAGTGCTCTGCCACTCAGCCAGATCCAAATCCCTAAGAAAACCATCTGACAGTAAGCTTCAGGTTCATAGGCTTTAATCTCAGCTACTTGGGAGGCTGAGGTGGGAAGATCACAAGTTTGAGGACAGCCTGGGCAACTTAATGCTTAGTGAGACCCCATCTCAAAAGGAAAAGGAGCCTGATGCTGGAATGTCTAAATTCATGACTTAATAGGCATAAAATATGAGGCCTCTGGACTGAAAAAAAATTTCATTCCTCCACTGCACTGAAAGACTCAACACACACAGCAATGGTGTGTGATAAACATTCCCACAGTCATAGGGGTCTGCTGCATCTTCCTGCCCCCTCCCCACCCCCACTCACTTGTGGCCACAGTGCCCATGTGAGGCTCACCTCTTGCAGAAGAGACAGGTGGGTGGCCAGGAGAAGAGTGAGAATCGGGCCCGGCAGCAGCAGCAAACCTGGAAGGAAAGGCCTGGCTAGAGTGCTGCGTGCTCCAAGTGCAGCTGGCACCCCAGGCCTACCTGTCCAGGTGCCTCACCTTCCCCCGCTTCAGGCTGCTAAACAGCTCCTTGTCCTGGACGAATTTCTCCATCTCAGCCTTCACCAACACACGGCGCACATCCACCACCTCCTCCACTGTCAGGGCCAGACTCTCCGCGGGATGGCTGAACTCCTGGGTAGCAGGGGCAGGGGCAGAGGCGGGCAGGTTGCCCTGCAAGCCCCCTCGTCCCCTAGAGATCCCAGCCCAGACAGACACCTGGCATCATCCGGCGCTCTCTGAGGAGGGTTCCCCACCCATGCAGCCCCCATCTGCCCCAGCCCCACTAGCCACATGCCACGAACTCCCCTTCTGCATTCCCACCTGAACACACACCATGGCTGATCAGAGCTGAACAGAGTCCATCTCCAATCTGCACTCCCTTGGGAAGCCTTCAACTCTGAGCTCTGCCTTGCAGACCTGACCCTGGACTAGACTACGCAGGAGGCCTCACACCAGAGCTCCCAGACCTGCCTGGCCTCCTGTTGAGTTTTACCTCCCAGGACTGGCACAGAGCTTGAAGCTGTATCTTCCTAAGCCTCTTTTTTCTCTTCTGTGTTTCAGCTCCACCAAGGCCATACACATAAATCACTAATACACTGCTGTCTGGTAAGCACGTGTCGAGGCAGGACAAGGCTGTGGGAATCTCTGGTACTGGTGGCCAAACTTCTCAGAAAGCATTTCCAAGATGTCTAAGCTGAGAAGTCACTTAGGAGACTTGCAGATTTTAAAACCTGCCACCAGTTCCTCAGCCAGTAGCTGCTCCCCATCCCCCTCCCCTTGGGAGTGGGCTAGACTTGGTGACAGAATGAGCAGTAATGCGTGTCCACCTGCGACTTTGTTCCACTTGTGCTCTGAGTGACACCAGCTGCCAAGATGAGGGGGTCACTCGAGCAAACGCCACAGAGCCATGTGATGGGGCTGAGCCTTCTGCCATGGCCATGAGGGGCAGCAGCCACCTCCAGTGCCCACCAGCCTCCACTGACCCCACTGCAGCCTCACAGCCCAGAAGGGCTCCTAACTCTCAGGAACCGTGTGAGATAAGTGTTTGTTACTTTAAGATGCCAAATCGTGAGGTGGCTTTAATGCAGGAACAAATAACTAATCCAGAGCTAAAAGAGGCACAGTCACCCACCGTCTGAGATGAACACCACCTCATCTTTACACAGAACTTGTGCTCTTCAAAGTGTCTAACACTGTCTGCCCTGAGCCTCTTACTGAAGCATCAGAGCAACGGTGATGCCAACCACCGCTGACACCCACATACCCATGGGTCCTCCTGTCACCTGCCTGGTGAGAGCCGTATACTCAGACTTCAGTCCCTGTGGAACCTCAAGGAGGTAGCAGGTGTCAGTTCTCAGTCACAGAGCAGACAGAGTTCACAGCTAAGGGGACTGGCACTTTGGTGGCAGTCTCAACCAGAGTCGTCTTGACCAGAGTCAAGTCTCTGCCACACTCCTCCTGCCCATGTTGCCCCAGAGCCACCCTGGGGCTTCAGCACTTGCAAGGTCCTTCTCAGACTTTAGACCTGAGGGAGAAACAAAGGCACTGGGGAGGCCCCCGCCACCACTCACCAGCCACAGGTGCCTGGCATCTGGCACAGAGGCTTCAGGTCTGTCTGCAGAGCTCAGGCTGCTGAGCGTGGGGGTCCCAGGGTCAGGCTGGGGCTGGACACCCACAGGACAGGAGCCTAGAGGAAGAGCACAGGCCTGAGGAGCCCTGCAGGAGTGCTGAGAGGAGAGCGCTGGACAAGGGCCAGTGTGTACTTTAGGGTGGAAAGCATGTCCCCGACGGGGTCTGCACAGTTCACTGCCTGTTGCCTCGAGCCCATGTTGGAGGCCCAAAGGAAAGCCAGCTCCAAGGACACCATAGGCACCTCGCAGGAACACCCTCCTCCTCAGATGCTGCACGGTAGGGGGAGGAGGGGCTTCCATCCCAGGTCTTGAATCTCTGGGAGGCCGCAGATGGGGGCACCTGAGGCATCAGTGAAATTTAGAGTTGGCCTGGTCTGGCCCATGGCACTGGAAGAGAAGTTGCTCAGGGTAGCTCACAGGCAGACAGAGGCCTGGATGCCTGATGGGTGGGTGCCAGCCCTACAGGCAGTCTGGGGGCACTTCCTGCATGGCCACAGACACTATGTGGTCTTAGCTCCCTGCTGGGAAAGAAGCAATGGAATGGCCACTGGTGATGGTTTGGGTTCTGGCGTGGACACCCCACCTGCAAGGGATTCTAGTGCCCACACAGAGGAGAGGCCCAGCCAGGGTCTGGCACCTGGCCTCCCAGTATGGCAACAACAGTGATCCCTGAGTAAGGGGAACGGGATGTAAGTTCCTCAGAGAATGGTTTACAATGAACATAGATGCTTATTTAGTAAAAAGGTTCTCCACTGGGAAGGGGTGGCACCTGCCTATGATGGCGAGATGACCATATACCCTGCTTGCCCACACCCCCTCCCACCCCCAGGTGCTGCTGCAGGCTGGGACCCATAATCCCACAGAGGACACAGTGCCATGGTAGGATCTGAGGGCAGGGCAGCAGGGATGCAAGGCGCACTTGCCCTGGTCCCAGGCGCTGGGCCTCCAGGTGTGCATACTGCCTGCCCGCGGCCGGGGCAGTCCTGGCCCTTCCCGGGGTGGAGCAGCTGGCTGCAGGGCGGAGGCCACCTCACTCCGCAGCTGGGCCAGGTCGTGCTCTGAGAAGGAGCGATCCCGTTTCAGTGTCACCTCCCCACATGGAGACTCCTCTTCCTGCAGACAAGCCAGACACAGCTCACCCTGACCACGCTGCCCCCACCTCCTGCCACCCTGGACTGAGGGCTGGACTTGGGGCACTTTTGGGTCTACAGAGTCCTGGGCTGTCCTCCCATTTTTCTTTTTTTTGTTTTTGGTGGTCCTGGAGATGGAACCCAGGGCCTTTCTACTGAGCTATATCACCAGCCATTCTCTTATTTTTTTAGTTTTGAGACAAGGTCTTTGCTAAATTGCTCAGGCTTTGCTTAAACTTGTAATCCTCTTGCCTCAGCCTGACAAAGTGCTTGGATTATAGGTGTGTACCACCATGTCTGGCTCTGCCCTACCGTGCCGGGACAGTTTATGGCAAGTGCCTCAATACTCGAGCCATCCTGAGGCCTTCCAGGACCAGGGGAGGACAGACCGGGTGCAGGAGGAAGCCGAGAAATAGCTGCCACCAAGAGGAGGCGAAGGCAGTACTCAGCAGCCATGGTGGCCAAGGGACCCCGATGTGACTACCCTGCCCTCCAGCCAAGGACTGCTCATTTGCTGGGCAGTGGGATGAGGGATCACAGCCATGTGAAGCCTTCTTTGGTACACCTGTGAGAAGAGCTGGCTCCAGGCTGCTGGCTGAGTATCCCATGGTCACTTCTGACAGCTGAGATGGGGAAGGGGTTGTTCCACCTGCCCCCTCCCAGCTTGCCTGGCCCCTGGCTTTGCCAGCCCTTCTTGACCCGCCCCTGCTCTGCCTCCTCAGGGTCTTCGTGGCTCTGACCTCAGAGGTACTCATCTCCTCCATCTCAGCCAGTGTGGGTGCCTTGAGCAGGACCCGCGGCCGTGGGCGCTGAGTGCCACTCCCAACATCCGTGACAGACAGATTGATACAGGAAGTGGACTTGACGTCCCCCGAGCAGGCGTTGAGGATGCAGGGCAGAGAGCCAAAGCCTGCGGTGGACAAGAGAGTGAGTGAGAGCTCCACATGCACCATTGGGACAGAAGGGGAAGCTGAGGCCAGTCAGCCACTGAACTCCAGCCAGATGGAGGGAACCACCTCACCTCCCAGAGGCAGAGCAGAAGTGGGACTGGAATTTTTCCTCTGTTCTTCAAGGAAGATCAGGCCTTTGACATCTGAATAAATGCCTGGTTTTCCCCACCTAAAAACACTGCTTTATTTTTTATTCTCCCAAATGCTTAGATTTGTCATTAGGCTGTGCAAAATGCAGAATAGCAAACTCAGGTCAAAGCCAGCATACAAGATCCCTTCCTCCTCATCTGCCTCTCACTTACAAGGGCCTGGTCTACCCTGCAAAAACCACAATGCCCGGGTCTTTCATGGTTGCAGGGGCTTATGGGGCGGACATCACCCCTGGTCTGTGACATGGCCAGGGGAAGTAGGAATCTCCTCCCTCTGTCATGCCCTCCCCTTGCTTACCCCGAGTGCCCAGCTGCTGGGCCCCTACAGGCCGCAGTCTGCGCTCCTGCTTGATCTCCTCCAGAATCCTCTCATGCAGGGTCCTTTGCTTCTGCGGCAGTGGGCGAAGCTGGCGCTCAGAGACCTGCAAGGAAGTGATGAGCCAAGGGGCAAGGGGATGCAGGTGGTAGCAGGGGCCTACCTGGAGTCCAGGGTGCTCACTGCCACCCCCACCTGCTGGGAGGAGGTGCTGCCCTGGGGCTTGGTGGGCACCTGTGCCAACACCGCTCTTCCCAGAGAAGACCCCAGCCACACTGTGCCAAGCCAGGTCAAGGCCAAGGCCAGTCTTCCAGCCTGCAAGCCAGAGAGCTGGGTAGCCTCCTGTGGAAGCAGAGGGCAGGACCAGGATCCAGGTCCCCTGGGGGTGGATGTTTAGAGCCAGTACCTGTTTCAGGGGAGGCCGGGAACGGATAAAGTCCAGGATGAGCTCATGTGCATCCTTCTTCACCCTGGGAGGGATGTCCCCATCCACCTGCAGGTGGACCACAGAGGGGGCAGCTAGGCTGAGGACCAAGGGCTCCAAGGTCCTGGTCTTCAAACCCATCCTCTCTGTCATGGCTCCAGGACAGGTGCATGGCAGGTGCATGCCTGCAGCATTCTCAAGCCAATCACCACGCCTCCTGTACCTCAGGTTCTTCTGGGAAGTGTGGCTGGGGGTGCCCATCTCACAGGACTGTCATAACAATGAGGGGGACTGGCCCACTAAAACGCCAAGAAGCTGGGCATGGTGGCGCACACCTGTCATCCCAGCACTCAGGAGGCTGAGGGAGGAGGATCTTAAGTTTGGGGCCAGCCTGGACTACATAGTGAGTTCAAGGCCAGCTGAACCACATAGCAAGACCCTGTCTCCAGAAGAAAAACAGACATAAAATGCTAAGAACAAAGCTGGTGCAGGTGAGACATGTAAGATGCCGCACTCTTGCCTTGAATGGTCCCCTCTCAGGGCCACTCCAGCCTTCCACAACCTTCTCCCTGCCTTTGTCACTGTGTCCCCTGTGGGACACAGAGCAGCAGGATCAGGACCATACCTGCCTGTCCCTACCCCACAGCCCCTGCCAGCCTCAGTGAGGCAAGGGCTGGGCAGGCTCACCATGACCTTGCGCAGCTTGTAGTTCCTGGCACGGATGTCCTGCATCAGCATCTCAAAGGGTGTGAGCTGGAACTCGGTGGGCAGGGGGTTGAACTCCTGCTCCTGCACCTTCTTGAGCTTCACCCCGTGGCGAAGCTCCCGCATGAGCTGCACCCACAGCCGGGCCTGGCCCAGAGGAAAAGGAATGGCCGTCAGCCCACAGGCACCACAGCTGCCTGGTGCTCACCCTGGGTGTGGCAGGTGGGCCGAGTCTTACCCAGTCTGTGTGTCCCAGGTTGTCGAGCTCAGCCAGTGGCTTCTGTATCTGCGGCTCATCCTCTCCCAGCCTCTGCAGCATCTGGGACCACACAGCTGGTTAGTCCAGGGAGGCAGGAGGGTAACAAGGATGAATTCCCCCGCCACTCCACTGCTGCTCAGCCAGCCACACAGACATGCAGGTGAATCAACCCCAGCACGGGGGCTCAGGAAGGCCCCCAGGGAAAGCACAGTCTGCCTTGGAGCCACACAGGGTGCCTGGCTACTGTTCTCTGGTGGCTAGTCCTGGGCAGGGGACCTACCACAGGCCAAGTCCCGTGGGGTCACTGTGCCAGTGGCCCACGTCCACCAGGAGGCGCTGTGTCCCCATGGCACACGCAGGTGCAGGCACCCTCTGTGCAGAGTGCCGCGTTTCCTGCTGCTCTCAGCTCTGGCAGGCTTGCCCACCCGCTCCATAGCCCTGCTGTGCCTTCATGCAGGGTCCCAGCCAGGAACAAGCGATCCAGCCTCGGCCCACAGCTGGTCTGCGGAGGTCTGGGCCAGCGTGTGCCAGGTCCACAGACCCAAGGCACAGGCAGGATGAGTGGGCATGGGATACCAGCAGGGCCTGGGAGTCATAGTGACAGGGTCAGAGGGTAGGTGTCAGGGACGCTGACTGCTCTATGCTGACATCAGGAAGACACTGGGTGAACTACTTCGGGTGCTGGGGCCCCTATTCCCCTAACCCACCCAAGAGGGCACCTGCCCTTTAGCACACAGCCACCCCCACCAACACAAAGACAGGTGCTCTGGCAGTCACCCAACACCGCTGGCAAACTGCCCTGGTGACCCTGGCAACGCAGAGCTGCGGAAGGTGTGGGATTCTAGTAAGAGTCCCTGTGGGGACAAGCTAGCTCCTGTGGCAACAGGCACGGGCACACTCCCAGCCTGCCTGAGTCCACATCTAACCTGATCAGGCTGCTTCATGTAAAATGCCTGCTGGGTGAGCACTGTGCCCCAAGGGACCCTTCTGTCTGCTTTCATGCCAACTCCCTGAACATTAGCATCTATGGTTGCAGAGCAGCTGAGAATCCCTGTTCAGTAAGAGCCTTGTCGTGTGTGTGAGGATGCCTCCCCACTAAAGTAAGAGCCCCACTGTCTGGGGAATGATGTGTTCTGCTGAAGGAACGGGCCCACTGACCAGATAAGAATGCCCTGTGTGATCTGAGCCTCTGTGAACCTGGACCTGTGCATCCCTGGGCCTTGTGGGCCAGGGCATGGGTGGGTCAAGGCCTGTGTTGTCCTGGGTGGGTCTGTGTGAATCTGGGCCTATGTATCCTCTACCTGTCAGGATCAGGGACAGTATGGGTCAGGGCCTGTGTGGACTTAGACCTCTGTGGTTCTAAGCCTCTGTGGCCCAGAGCCTAGCATTTCTGAGCCTGTGTGGGTCAGGGGCTGTGTGACTCTGGGCCTGTGGGTCTGTACCTGTTTGGTTTGGGCCTGCATAGCCCTTGGCCTGTTGGATCCAGGTTTGTGTGTATCAGGGTCTGTGTGAGCAGGACCTGCATGGGTCCAGGCCTCTATAGCCCTGAGCCTCAGTGATTCTAAGCTTCTATGGGTCTCATCCTGTGAGGATCTGAGCCTGTGTGATTCAGATCCCACATGGGTCTGGTGCTGTCAGGGTCTGAGCATGCATGACACTGAGCCTATTTGACACTAGGTACTTGTATGGTCTGAGGCTTATATCCTGATTTCATGGGGGCCTGGCCCATATGCTTTGGAGCATCTGTGGTCAGGACAGGGGCAGGCACAAGAGTTGCTAGCACAGTATTTTCAGGATGGGGTTAGTTGGTTGGGGTGCTAAGCCAGAAGCCTGGTGTTCCCCTCTTCCAGACTTAAAAGTGGGATTAGGGAGGATAAATAACCTATGGGGTTTGGAGTGCTGGTTGGGAGGCAGAGGCTGGGAACTAGTTATAGACACTGGGCCCCTATTCCCTTCCTCTGAAAACCTGGTAAAAAGGAGGTATGAGGCTAGTGCATGAGGCTTTAGCACAGGGCTGCCCAGAATGACAGAATGAATCTCATGATGGAGGCCTCCCCACAGTGGGCAGGTGGAAAGATGGACACGGTTGCTAGCACCCACACAAACCTCGGCAGTGGCTCTACCCCTCCCTGGGCCCCATGATGCCCTCTGCTCTCCTCACCCCGTGTCACTCACCTCCTTGGCCTCACGGACCCGGGCCAGGAAGGCACGCAGCTCCAGGGTCTCCACGAAGAGGGCACGACACACGGCCTGGTAGTGGGCCTGTGCACCCCGGGGGTCAGTGAGGCGCGCTGCGCACAGCCGCATAGCCTGGGCAAAGGTGTGCACAGCACGGGGGACACCCTCGGCCGCTTCCTCCTCCTCCTCAGGGCCCCCGTAGCCCTCATCTGCTGCCCCACAGCCGCCATCATCGCAGTCGCTGTTGGCCATAAGGTCGATGAGCTGCTCCAGCTGCGGGCTGAGCTCGCGCTCCTCACTCTCGTCCAGCCCCCAGTCCAGGGCGCGGTAGATGGCAAAGCCCAGTGACTGCACCATCTGAGGGACAGGGGTGGTGTCAAGCCTGAGCATCCAGCCAGGGGCATGTTGCTCGGGGGGAGAGGCTGGAAGGGGGCAGCGGCCCAGCTTCTCATAGTGACACAGAAACAGACACATGGTGACACTCAAAACTATCAGCCACTTTGAAAAACAATGTGGAGGATTTTTTTTTTTTTTTTTTTGTATTTTGAGTTAGGGTCTCACTGTGGAGCCCAGGCGGGCCTGAAACTCAAAGTGATCTTCTTGCCTTCTTGTCTTTCTTCCAAGGACTGGGATTACAGGTGTGTACTACCATGCCCCTCTCCTGACAGATTCTTTTATTCATTTATTTATTTATTTATTTTTGGTCCTTTTGAGACAGGGTCTCACTATGCAGTTCAGGCTGGCCTTGAGCTCACTTTGTAGCCCAGGCTGGTCTCGAACTCACAAGGATCCTCTTGCTTCAGCTTCCTGATTGCTGGGATTACAGGCATGTACCACCACGCCCAGCCCTCCTGGCAGATTCTTATAATGAAAAAATGCATCTTCCACCTGACTCAGCATCTATTCTCTCAGTATTTACCAGGGAGAAACACCCAAACCTGGAAACAGTACAGGCGTTCTTCAGCTGGTGGGTGTAACCATGACGGGTGCCTATGGAATGGAGCAGGAAAAAGGGACAAACAAGGGCGTGAGTCACACCACTACCCAGACAGAGGCAGACAAAGCGCCTTCATCCTGCATGGCTCTCCTTACATGAACCTCCAAGCAAGAGAAACCTAGCCAAAGTGACAGGAAGATGCCAGCAGCTCCCAGAGAGGGCTGGGTGGGGCAGGAAGGCAACTCTGGTGGCCGGGCAGCTCTGCCTGGACTCTGCGGTCGGTGGCGTGGTATAGGCTGCAGGAGAGCTGAGTAGAAGAGACAGACACACTGAGCAAACAGCAGCCTCACTGTGTCACAGCCATGAGCTCCAACTGAGGAGGACAAGAGACCACAGCTGCATTCCCACTAGAGTCTGGGTCCTCTGTGGGGTGCTAGGGTGGGGTCAGGGCCTCACACATGCCACACGGCTCTGTCTCTGAGCCTCACTCCACTGCCTTGCAAACATCCCTGGAAGGGGAGGCTAAGATGGCGCCCATTTCCAGGTCCCTGGGGCAGTGGCCAGGACGTGGTAAGGGACAGCAGAACCCCGTGCCTTCCTCCTCTCTCCTCCCCACCATGGCCCTGTTCACGATGTCCTGTTCCACCACAGGTCCAGCAACAGGGCCACCTGGAAACAGACTGAAATCTCTAAAATCATGAACCAACATAAATCTTTCCTCTTTCTGATGATCTAAAGTGTTTGTTATAGTAACAGAAAGCCAACTAACTCATGTAAGTCTTAAATTTGACACTTGTAAAAACTGCTATCTCGCTGCTGGGTATGGTGGTAGACACCTGTAATCCTAGCAGTTGGGAGGCTGAGTCAGGAGGACAGCCATGAATTTGAGGCCACCCTGAACTATACAGTAAGACCCTATCTAAAAAAAAAAAAAAAAAAAAAGATGTCTCAGCTGGGTATGATGGCCTGTGCCTCTAGTCCCAGCGCTATAGGAGGCTGAAGCAAAAGGATCACAAGATTGAGTCCAGCCTGGGTAATGTAGTGACTTAGAGACACTGTCTCAAATAAAAAATTAAAAAGGCAGGGGATATGGTTCACTGTGAGGGCTCTGGGTTCAGTCCCCAATTTTTCTTTTAAAAAAAAGACATCTCACATCTTTTTAAATGCATGTAACTTTTCATAAACCTAACCTGCATGGGTGGTAGAAGGATTTCAGAAGCACTCAGCATACAGGTCAGGACTTGGTGACCCATGGGACTAGTGCTGAGAGCCCATGGTACCATTCTGCTTACTTTATAAGTGCTTAAAGGTCTCCTTAATAAGTATTTTTTAAGTAATTAAAAATTCATGAGGAAAAAAAAATCCATGAGGACCTGAGTGTGGTGGCACACACCCATAATCCCAGCACTCGGGAGACTGAGGCAGGAGGGTTGTTGCGAGTTCAAGGCCAGCCTGGGATACACAGTGGGCTCAAGGCCAGCCTGAACTGCATAGCGAGACCATCTCAAAAAGACCAAAAACAACAACAAAAAAATCTGTGAGGTCCCACAGTAGAGGTCCCTTCACTCAGTATTTCTCAACTTCTTTCTTTCCTTTTTGAGACAGGGTCTCACTGTGTAGTTCAGGCTGGCCTTGAACTCACTATGTAGCCCAGTCTGGCCTCAAACCCGTGAAATCCTCCTGCCTCAGCCTCTCAAGTGCTGGGATTACATGTGTGCACCACCATGCTTGGCAACACTTCCCAATCAGGGCCCTGGCCATGGCACCATGTTCACCCCAGTGCTGCCTTCACTAACTTTCCCGGCCCCTCTCACACAGCTCCCTCAGAAGCACAGGTCTCCTCAGCTGGAAACACGGGCTTTTCTGCTCCACGGCCAGCTGAGCGCAGGGCAAGGCCACGCTCCTGATTAGTGCGGTGCTGTTTATTTCCAAGGGTTCTCATACTTTCGCTTTGGGGGTACTGGAGATTGAACCCAGGGCTTTTCTACTGAGTTACATCCCCAGCACTTTTGAACACATACGTGTGTGTGTGTGTGTGTGTGTGCGTGTGTGTGTGCGTGTGTGTGTGTGTGCGTGTGCGTGTGTGTGTGTGTGTGTGTGTGTGTGTGTTTTGAGACAGGGTCTCAATAAGTTGCTGAGTTGCTCAGGCTGGGCTCAAACTTCCAATCCTCCTGCCTCAGCTTCCCAGGGAGCTGGAATGACAGGTACAGGTGGACCACCAGGCTAGGCTTCATACCTGCCTTTTATGACAAGGGTCGGAAAGATGCATGCACACAGGGTAACAGCTCTCTTTGCCAGCCACCTGCAGAGGCCTCTTCATAACTTATCTGCTTAGTTGGTAACATCCCACAGACACAGCCCCTTCCCTAGGTAGAGAACACAGGCATGGGGACACCCATCCCTGGGCCACAGCTGGCCATGAATGATAGGCCTGGGACCTGTCTGTGTCGCCCCTAACCTTTGTGCCCTGCAACCAGGGCAGCAGCGCTGTGTGGCAGATGGAGCCACAGCCTCTTCTGGGCACTGTCACTTCCTGAGTGCACCTGCTGAGTGGCCTCTCCTCCCATTTCCTGGGTCCCCACCAGGAGCCCAGGAACCTGGCCTGAGCAGGGCACAGCAAGCACAGGTGGTGAGAGCCAGCGCCCAGCAGGGGAACAGGCTCTTAAGCACAGCCCATGTCTTAGGAATCACCCCGCAAGACTCTGGAGCCTGGGCTTGGGAGGGTGCAAGAGCGAGGCTGCCACAGGAGCCAAGGCCAGAGGCCATGCCTGGTGATCTCTGTGTGGCTGACAAGAGGGGCAACGGATCTTCTCACACCCAGAATGAGAGTCAGAGGCCCTGCCAAGGCGGGGTCCCCTGGGGCAGTGCCTCTCCAGAGTGCCACAGTGGCGGGAAGGATGCCAAAAGCCACAGGTCACACACGTCCCTGTCCATTCTTCTTCCAGGAAAGAGCAAGGTCAGGGTTAGGTATGGGGAGGGGATTTCACACCCTCAAGGTCCGCTGCAGCTCCGCGCTGGCCCTAGGTGTGTGGTAGCGCTGCTGGGTGCCCTGGTAGAAACCAAACAGGAAGGTGCCCACTGCCCTGTACAGCCAGGGCCTGAGCGCCATGCCCCGCTTCCCTGCCACTGGCCCGAGCCAGCTATGAGGCAAAGGCTGGCTTGCACTCAGCTATCTGGCAGCTGACAGTTCTGTTGGTGAAAGCTCTCCTCTGCCTGGCCACGGGGAACTCTGAAAGGCACAAAATGCTTCTTTCCCGTAAGGACAGGTCTGGGCAGCTGGCCAGGCTCGGGACTCTGGTGCGGCCTACAGGCTGCAGCTCTACTTACACTGGCCTCGGCAGTCTGCAGGTGTGGCTGGCCTGGGAGCCGGCTGGAGCCCAGAGCCTGGGTGCATCTCCTGGAACCCACACAGCCAGAGTCAAGATTAGGAACTAGGCAGAGCCCCTGCCCGGTCTCCCAGGGGTGGGCTCTCAGGTCCACCTGTAGGCCTCTGAAGAATGGTCCAGACCAGACTCCCCCCCCCAGACAAAGTTCCCTATAAATGTTTTTAAGATGCTTAACAACAGGGACGATTTGGAAAAGTCATGTGGCAGGCAGCAGCTGCACCTCTATTTGGAAACTGGACAATAGGAGCCAGCTGACTTCTCTGCCCTAGAGTCCAGGACTTGGGAAAAAGCTGCCTAGAATAGCATGCAACAGTAGAAAAGGGTGACTGACAGCCACACAGCGGTGCAGTATGGATGGTGATAAAACGCAGCACAGAGCCTGGAACTGGCTTTGCTGTAGTTTCTGTGTCCCCAACAACAATCATGTGTCCACTCCACCCTTGGCATGGGTATCTAATATACAAGCAGGTTTTCTAGTACAACCATGAATTTCAGACAGTGGAGGTCAAACGTCAGGCTCTGGGTGGTGCCTGGAGGGAGAATGGGTAGAGGAGGAGGCGCAGGAACACATGCTACTGAGGTCGAAGGCCTGGGCTGGGTGGGGGCCTGGACGCGGGCCTGGGCCTGGTTTTCCTGTCTGCCCCTAAAAGCGCCCCCTGCCCCAAGCTCTGTGTCCTTCGAAGCCAACCATGGAGGAAGAGTGGGCCCAACAGCACTGTGCCCTCACCTCTGGGTTTAGGACAGGGGTTGGTGACCAGGGAAGCTTGCAGGGCCTTTGCCCTTGTCCTGTGCACATGGATTCTTCCACAAGTCCCTCTGTTAAGCCCTTCTACTGTTTTATCTGTGTCTTCCCTCGGTGAAACAACTGTAACTTTATATGCTTTTGCAGTTCACCTTAAGCAATCCAGGTGTTTTAACATGTACCAAAACATCTTCAAGGCTCTTGAGGGTGGGCGTGGTGGGGCACACCTATACTCCCAGCACTGGGGAGGCTGAGGCAGGAGGGTCACCATGAGTTGGAGGCCAGCCTGGGCTACAGCCTGAATTCAGTGTCATTCTGGACTACCTAGCAAGACCCTGTCTCCAAAAAACAAAGACTCTCTTTAAAGCTAGCTCTGCACACGGAAGCCTGAAGCCGAGGGTCTATCTTGTGTCTGAAGCCAGCCTGGGTACACAGCAAGTTGAAGGCCAGCCTGAATGACACAGTGAGGCCCTGTCTCAAACATAAATAGATAAAATAAATGGTTTTAAAGTACCTGGGCTTCTGAGCTGGCCAGCGGCACCACCATGGTTGTGGGGTCTGCAAGAGAAGACAGTGAGTCAGATGGCTGGCAGCCCTAGGCCCCGAACACAGAGCTGTCTGCTCCCTCCCAGCTCCTTTCCCTCAAGAGAGCACAGAACCCCAATGTCCCCAAAGGGAAGGCAAAGGGGTGGGAGCAGCTCAAGGTGGAGCCCACACAAAGCCCTAAGGTGGATCTCTGGTACCCCCACCCATGCCCAAAGGGAAGGAACATGGTTCACTCAGATGACACCAGCTCTGGGCAGGACAGCTGGGTCTAGGGACTGAGAATGACAAGCGCCACCCCACAGAGGGCTGATGTCCCCTGGGATGCAGGGCTGGACCAGGTGCTGAGGGCACAGGCCCCCACGTCACTGGCAAGGCAGGCTTTGCTGGGAGAAACCACCCTGGCAATAGCTCCTTGGCTGGGCATCTCCCCAGGCTGAGCAAGTCCCTAGGTCAGAATAGAGGGGAGGCCAGACCTTGTACTTTATTTAAGAAAGTGGGCACTGGCCAGTGAGTGCCCACTTTACAGGGCTCCCCAGGTAACACAAACACAGCCTAGGAGGAACCACTTGGCATTCATCACACAGACGAAGAGTCGGAGGCCTGGAGGGTGGCACCATGTCAGGTTACTGAGTGGTGGTGCCAGGGTGAGGTGGGCCAGGAACCCAACTCTGCTCTGCCACCACGCCCCAAACCTCCCAGATGCCAGAGAGTGAGACAGAAAACTGCCCTTGAGCCAGGCATGGTGGCACACACCTGTAATCCCAGCACTCAGGAGGCTGAGGCAGGAGGATCATTGTGAGTTCAAGACCAGCCTGGGCTACAAAATGAGCTCAAGGCCAGCCTGAACTGCAAAGTGAGACCCTGTCTCAAAGAGACAAAAAAAAAAAAAAAAAAAAGAAAGCTGCCCTTGTCACAACCCTGCCTCTGTGTGAGCGCAGGGACCACTGCAGCCTGAAGTTCTCTCTGGAGTGCAGCAAGAAAGAAGAAACAAACCACAACACTGTCTGCTAAGTGAACCTGTGCACTGTACAAATACTTCCAGAATGCCATCAGGAGACAGGAAGATTGCCAGAGATAAAGGGAGACTGCAGCTCATTAGAATAATGGAAAATGATCTGGTCCCCACACCAGTGAGGTCACTAACTGAGCGGTAGGCAGTGCAGCGTGGGGACACAGTGTCCCTAGCCCACCTTGGGTACTCAGTGAGAGCCGGCATCTGACCCATGACTGGGCAGTCAGGCAAGAAAGAGACCTGGAGTGAAGGTGCTTCCTGGAAGAGGCAGTGCCACAGCCAAGGCCAGGCAGGACAGGGTGGGGACAGGGTGGGTTCTCTGCAGGCTGAGCACAGGTCCTGTCCAGTGCTTGGGTACCAGAAAGCTTCCTGCTGGATTTTTCTTTCCAGTACTGGGGACAGAAACCAGGACTCTGAGTTTAGTTGGCAAGCACTGTGCCACTGAGCTACATCCTCAGCCTTTTTCATTTTCTTTTTTTTCTTTTTTCTTTTTTTTCTTTTTTTTTTGTACCAGGAATTGAACACAGAACCTCCCACTTGCCAGGCAGGCACTTATGCCCCTGAGCTGTGTCCCTGGCCCCTTTCATTTTCTTTAAAAATGCTATTTATTGTGGGCCAGGGATATAGCTCAGTGACACAAGTGCCTGCCTGGCAAGCCAAAGGTCCTGTGTTTGACTCCTGGTACCAAAACAAACAAAAGCCCTTAAAAATGTTATTTATTTTGCAGTACCTAGGATTGAAACCAGGGCCTTCACACTGAATTATAACCCCAGTTCTTTTTTTTTGATTTTTTATTTTGAGATAGGATCTTGCTAAGTCGCTCAGGCTGGAACTTGTAACTGTCCTGCCTCAGCCTCCCAGAGTACTGGGACTACAGATGTCCACCAGCATGCCCAACCCTTTTTATTTCTCATTTTGCCTCCAACTTGGGATCCTCCTGCCTTAACGTCCTAAGAAGCCGGGACTGTAGGTATGTACTGCCACCTCCAGGTTCTCTTGTAATATCATTAATGCTTTTGTCACTGGCTTAAACAGTGTGTATGTTAACAACAAAATTGTGCCATCATTAAGTGTTCATAATCTAATTACGTCGTAATTTGTAAGGGTTTGTAATTAGGTCTTTGGGTTTGATGAGCAAGAACTGTGTGCACACTACCCCATTGACAAATGAGTAGGAAGGCTTCAGCCTAGACAGTCACCTCCTCCGGGCAGAAGCCATGACTCCACCAATACAGGTGCAGAGCTGGGGCTCAGGCAGAGGGGAAAGTTACCCGTGAGCTCAAAGCGAGCACACAGCAGTAGAGACCCGCTGAGACTGCAGATCCCACCACAGCTTCACCAATCCACCCAGGAGCTGCCATGTAGGGCTGGGCAAACTACTTTTGCTCATTTGAAACGTTCTCTCCAGGGAAGAGCAGAAGGGCACAGACAGAAGCACACGGACGTTGCAGGGAGCAGGTACTCTTCACCGTCACCCACAAGCTCTGCTAAGTAAGGGCTAGGACTCCACTTGGTGCCACCTCTGCAGCAGCTCAGCCTGGCCTGGGCAAGAGGAAACCACTTCGGCATTCTGCACAAAATACAAATGAAGCTGGGGGGGCTGGGGATTTAGCTCAGCGGCAAAAGCGCCTACCTGGCATGCGCAAGGTCGTGAGTTCGGTTCCCGGTACCGGAGAAAAACCAAAAAAACAAACAAACAAAAAAAAAACAAATGAAGCTGGGCACGGTGGCTCACGCCTGTAATCCCAGCACTCAGGAGGCTGAGGCAGGAGGACTGCTGTGAGTTTGAGGCCAGCCTGGGCTACAGAGTGAGACCCATCTCAAAAAACAAAAAACACAAGTGAAGATCAATCAGAAAGCCAGAGCGTTCTCTCAGAAATGGCATCAGTCACGAAGTACAAGAGGATAATTTCAGAAGACAACTCCACTTGGAGGAGAGCTGCCTGGGGGGCCCTGCACCCCAGCTCCTCTAACCAACTCCCAGGGGAGATGCCCCACAGGTGCATAGAAGGAGGATGGTCATCACCTGCTACTTGGGGTAATCAGGCCCCAGGTGTCTCTCTATGATCTCACTTCCTCCCCTGTAGGATGGAAGCCAGACTAACTTTCCTGTCACCTCAAAGAGGAAGTGAGGTACCACACACAGACACTCCAGGGTGTTACACTCGGGGACATGGAGAGGATTTGGTGTGGCACAAGAGGTGCCAAGGGGAAGCCCTGCGGTTCGTGTGGTAGGGAACACAACTGTCCCTGTCCTGTGAGCCCACAGCCCACTGCGCTCCCTCAGTCCTGGCCCCCCAGCTCTGAGTGACGACCAAAAGGGACACACACTCCCCCAGCCTGTGTCTCAGGACCAGGGCTCTCAGGAGCTCCCATGCAGCCATAGCAGGCTGGAGGGACAAAGCACTCACTCCTGGGGACAAGTGAATTGCCACAACCCCAGGAAGATACCCACGCTGCCTCTCATAATCACCGCCTCTTGCTTCCTCGCTGGTCTGCATATGGGGCCAAGCCTGCAAAGTCATGTGCTGCTGTCTTGCCAAAGACTTGTAGAAACAATCTGACCAGAGGACACTGGGGAGCCACGAAAGCAAACATGGTGTCCTTCATGCTGCGTCAATCCAAGACTCCACCTTGGGAACAAACATCCACCTGCAGCCCTAGAGAGCTGGTACACAGGAAGCGCTTAGGCCGTGGGTGGCTAAAGGAGGCCAGGGGACAGGGACGCAGGATTCTTGGATGGTGTCAAGAGGGCACAGGAGAGCACAAGAGAGAGCCTGCACCCCCATAGGTGGAGAGGGGCTCTGAGAGCCGGGGCACCTGGGAGTCAAACACCCTGCATGGCTTTGCACATCAAATTGGTTCCCTCTTGGACAAAAGACACCCATGCCCCCAAGGTCACTGCATGGTTTCAATGAAAATACACCTAGTGTCTGACACATAGTAAACTCTCTATAAACACTCGCTATGGAAACGATTTTAAAGCTCAGTAGAGCCCTTGCCAAGCATCGGCCTGCAGGAGAGTCACCCTGAGAAACCACAGGAGTCAGAAGTCCCGTATTTGTTTAGCAAACAGAGAGCTCTTTGGGTCAAAGTGACCCAGGTGTGTCCGCCTCTGCCTCCGCCTCCGCCTCCGCAGTTTAGTTCGTGTTTCATTTCCGCATCCTCTCACCAGCCAGCCAGGCAGAAGCTAATTGAGCTGAGGTTAGCGCCTTTCTCGGGAACACTCACCACCCACACGGGACACTGTCCCCTCTCCAGACACCAGCCTGAGACCTGAGAGAGACCCAGATACGGGGCTGAAAACCCCATGACACTCGCTGTGCATCCCTCACAGGCCTGCTTCCTGCCTCTGCTGAGCACAGCCAGACCCAGCCTGGCCGGGCCGGGAATGGCAGTAACCCCCGTGACTTTATGTGCCAGCCCCCTGTGAGCACCCCCAGTCTACCAGACCCAGAAAGGGTGGTGACCTTTCCAACACCACCCAGCTGAGACAGCCCTCGACTAGACAGCCCCCAGCCTTGCTCGGGCTGACACCAGAACACGCCTCTGCCCCTCTCAACCTCTCTGACGGAAGAGTCATTTGGCACTGAAAGTGCTCGCTCAAGCAAGAGCTGGGGGACCAGTCCCTAGAGCTGCAATCCAGGGAACCCTGACCCTACCCGCAAGGGTGACAGCACTGGGGGAAAGACCACCCCAACTTGCCTGAGGATCTGTGGCTCTGGGCAGCTTTGGAATAGATTCCTGGGCTCTCAGCTGGAAGACGGGGGAGGCCAGATGCTTCGGGTGAAGCTGAGAGAGACCATGTCCACGCACTCCTGCCACCCTCTGGCCTCTCTCCTCGTCCCCCAAGCTGTCCCTGCTCTAATCCCCAGAGCTTACGAATGTTATGTTACAGGGTGGGGGATCTACGGCCGAGCAGACGGGTGCTGACCTACAGTTGAGGATGGCTCGAGTTTCTAGACACTTCAACTGGAAGATCATAAATGCACACTACTTA